CTTTAATGAAAATTTAAACTATGATAATTAGTGGTAGTTCAAAATAATTTCTGAATAATTCCTAACAGATTAAGTTACTTTTAAAATATAAATTTATAACAAAATCTCTCGTATTCTTTAAATGATATTAATCAATTTTAATCAATAAAATTTTGTTTGCGGAATTTTAATTATTAAGATATTCAAGAAATATGATAAATTCTCAGACAAGTTTTTTGCTGAAGAAATTTTATTTCTATTTAAATAAAAGAATACCCTCTTATATATAGTTTGATGCAAGACCTTACAGAAACACCCTATATATTTATATTTACCCGCATCGAATATACTTTCTGCGGCCCATTATTAATAGTATCGCGAGCAAGACTCGCCAAGTAAGCTTCGTAAATTCTTATTGTTACTTTCGACAATAAGTGTTGTTTGTACTTTTGTACAGATGACTTTTCAATAGCTAATCACTAAACGCAATTGTGCAATCTGAAACGAAGTACTCTCACCTGTGCGCACACATTCACACATACACACACATCGTCCATATGAATATGAAATGAATGTAGGTCTCGTCGGCATCGCGTGAAAATCGAATAAAAACCAAAGGATTCTTTTATGTACCATTCATCAATGATACATTTCCGAATTCTGCTATGTACGCTCCTTCACTGTTTCTTCGGATGCACTCGTGCTTTCACTTACAAGAAAAGGGCCGTGCCTGAGACCGACGAGATCATTATTAAGCAAAATAATATAAAGATCTGATCGCGTTTAAGGTGATCTGGTGGAATTCAATGAAAGAGAACACTGATACACTGAGCTCGTCGGTCGACGGGCGAATCTCTACTGCGTGTTGTACATACTAAATTATATAAATAAAAAATAAGATATATATAAAACATAAAATATATATATATATATATATATATTAGATATATAAATATATATATATATATAAAAGGTACAAGAATAAGAGTGAAACGGTACCAAGTATATATTCAGTGTCGGAGGCACTTGGCTTGCAATTCGTGAATGCCGATCGAGAGACTCGCTTACCCACTTGCACTCCAATTGCCGAGTCGACTTGTCGTTATTATGAACTTTTTCAGGGTGAAAGATATCGGGCAGAGAATGTGAGATTTACTTAAAAGGAGTTGACGAGACTTTGTGAAAAAGACAAAAGAGCGGTACGTGCGCGGAGATAAACGCGCGAACGGAAAGAGGAGCGCGATTAACGGACAAATATCGATATCTTGAAACTAGAACAACCAATGTCATCGCTATATGTTCTATATTTGAATCGTACGAGCCTTTTTTAGCGCAGTAAAACAAAGGAAACGTTATGCGTTCCGTTATAGGATATTTATCCTTCTACTCCGCGCCTTCTCCTTGCAGCCGTATCGAAAGCTCGTCTTTTTATTCCTCCCCGCCCTTTCCACTTCTCGATTATATATGCTGAAAGTTTTTTCCGCTATTTCCATCCTTCTATTTTCCGGTAGTATTGGAAGCAGGAGGAAGAAAATGTCGTAAGATACGGAAGGAGAATGACATTGGCTGTTCTATTTCCGCACCGCTGACACGCGCTGCCATACTACCAACGGAAAACTCCGCTTCCGCGATCGGCATATCGTTCGCGCCGTCACACAGAGGCTGTCTCGCATCAGTTTTCAACCCGAATATCGATTTGTTAGTATATAATATATAATATATAGTATAAATATATATGTGTATAATTTATGCATTATATATGTATAACCACGGTAATATATATATTATGTATGTTAATATATGTAATAGAGCCTAAAAAGTGGGAAAAAGGGGAAATCGCGCGTTTACCTAAAGAAAATAGAAAGAGAAAGGAAAGAGAGAAATACGCAGCATTCTGCGTGTTCTTATGCATCGCTACGATCTTTGTTGTGGCGATTGCGAACGCAAGCAGCACTACAACCCAAATTTCTTATAAAAAGTAATATATGTATGTGATCACAGTTTCGATTTTTGAATGTTTTATGATATCCCATCAAAATGAACACCGTTTTCGGGAGAAAACGACACGCAGAGAGAAACTGATTAAGAACAGATATTTCCGTCTTAGACTAGATATAAACTCGAAATCCTCACTATCGAGAGTCACTTTTGGAAAGTAAAATGCATGGATGAACAATCTTTGGAATCCTCGACCCGTATCCAAGACTTTTACTGATCGAAAATCACTCTCAGCATATAAAACTTTCGAGCGTATAGTAACGACGAATGAATACATATAATCGCAGGAACTTTAAATTAACCATCAAACTGCACGCAAGTTTACAAGTAAGAAGATACATTGGCTGACTGTTACGGACCCGACAAAGTTAATTGCCCTGCCATCTAATTGCTTCTTCTTACTCTTGCAATGTTTTCCTAAAACTCCAAAAAAATACAAAAGTAAAAAATTATCGATTAAATATTGTTTAAAGAAATAAAACAAGGACTCATTTATTCATTATTTAGTTTTTTTTTTTTTGTGAATGCTTCTGAGTTGAGTCTGTTAATTTTATTCAGTCGCTGTTACTATACTCAGGACCACCGCAACAAGTGTTTCAATGAAACCTATGAGACTCGATTATGTTCAAAAATAAATAGCAAAAAGGAGCATCAAAAACCACTGCCAAAAGACGAACCGGTGTATGGGATTGTCTATCATATTTGATAAAATGTCATAAAAGAGTATCACATACATCCTTTATCTTAATCTGTAAGTTACGAATTAACATGTTTCTACTCAATAATGGCTACCATAAGACCTATGCTTTTTTAAATTAACAATATTTACAAAATATCAAGCGATCAAGATATCAACGTAGACACCGATTCATTTTGATTTGTTACGCAGACACTTATTTCGAACGAAAGCGTTAAAGATAATTTCATCGTACCAACAGAAATTGCATATAAAATGCCAGATTTGCGAAAGAGAAGAAATGGAAAAATATTAGACACGTTTGCGTACAAAACCTCTCTATACATTTTCATACATTTTATTGATATTAATCTACCTATTGCGTAATTGATTTTTATAATTAATTAACTGTAATGTAATTATACTTGTAATGTTTACGACTTAAATCTCGATGATCATACTATAAAGATATAATATATATATACATATACAGGCAGTATATACACGGACGTGTATAAGTGCAAACATACAGATCTACGCGTATATAAACATGTGTTCGATCGCATTTTCGTTGCTTCGCGACGACTAAAGATTGAACGAGCATTTTGAAAACTCGTAATATTAACAAAAAGAAAAAAAGATGACATACGTTATTGAAGAGTACGATCTTTGGCCATATAATGGGATATATATATTATATATATTATATTATATAGATATATTTATGTTAAATGTAAGTTTAGAGTAAGATATGATGCGATGACGGCGCCGATTCGCCGGATCGCGTACATTATAAATACCTGCAATTGGTGTTCTCTCTCTTTGAAGCATTTTTAGAAGCCACTTGAATACCGCGCGAAGATCGCGGCGACCGAGAAATTGCGTTTGCACGATATCGTTATCTCGTTATTTCTAATTAAGGGCCCAATCGAAACGGCGCCGTTGGCGATCAGTTTCAGGAATATATTCCGGAATACTGCGCGTCATACGATTAAGACGAAACTGCCGCGCCACGATCGTGCGAGAACGATGACATTTTGTTTCGTAACTGGAGATACAATGCGTTAGACGAGAGTAATTCTAAGGATTCAAATGAAATTATATATAGAGAGCTGTATGTTTAATTAATTATAAGTTTATTCGTCGCTATGATATTATACTTAGGTATCGTATGATTTTTGAAATAAACCTTTGTTTTAAATATACGAATGAAATGTTGAGAGGTGTATGTCCTGCCATTGAAATTTACGATATTTGCGGTTGTGTTATAATTTCGGGATTTTAGAGCAATATATATCAAGAAAATGCAGATCCCTGAATATAGAAAAACTAAAATAGCACGAAGGAAAAAAATAGCATTGCGAATTAATTCTTAATTCGTAATTAATTTTTGAGTTAATGTCACTTTTATCAAATGGCCTACATTTTTCGTTTAGAAATGATAGGAAATGTACTTATTAGCATTGATAATAATATCAATTAGAAAACAATAAATCGATTAAAATATTTCAATTTGACTTGATTAGATAAATATTCATATATAGTATTCAACTACAATAAAAACAAGAGAAAAAATATATATATGATGTCATACGTTAACATCATAGATCAAGGGTTAATGATACAATGCATATCACAGTACTGACATACTTCTGGAAAGATATGAAAATAGAGCACATGCTACTTTTTTAATACCATATTGTAAAGATGAATGATTTCGAATTTACGGCATAAATTTGTAAAATTACTTAAAAAATTCGTCTTTACTAAACTAATATTTTTTAATATAATAGAAATATATTATTAATATTTTTTGTATTATATGAGATAGACGATATAATCTTGCAGTGATTGCAGTGATAAATTTAAAATACACTGTAACTGAAAAAACTTGACAATAGTTATTAACTTAAAAACATTTTAATTAAAAATATTTAATTAAAAACATTGATAATAATAGTAATAAATTTTAATAAATCCTAAAATTATTTTACATCTAGAAAAAACCCGGGAAAAAATGGTATAATATGGTCAGATATATAATAAATATATATAATTAGTTATGAAAAGATCTGATAACAAGTAAATTTTTATATGATCATATAAAATTACACATGTTATCAGATCTTTTTATAACTAATTATATATATTTACATCTGACTAATTATACCATTTTTTTTCTCGGGAATTTATAATAAACACGGACATCACCGATTAACTAATTTTTGCGTTTTGAAATAGAGTGCGTCGGAAATCAATCGTAATTTTATATTAGGAAATAACTTTGTTTCAAGCGCACACAGCAAAATTAATTGCCAAATAAAAGCAAAATTTTTGCTATTTTCAGATCGCTCGTCTACCAGGAATCTCGGCGAGTCGTGAGTACACCGACATTATAATATGTTAATGTATTCAAATATTCGTTATTGCACTCTCGCTTACGATATTCACGTTTTCTCATCAATGTGTCATGACTAATACTTCACTTTCTTTTAGTAATGCTTTAATTAGAATTTAACTGCGTAAGACGAATCAGCGACGAATTGTAGATCTCTTCGTCGCTTTTCCGTTATTTGACAATCATCGTTTTGTAGACTTTTGCCAAGCATGCACCTTTTCAGAGACTTCGCGGATCCTGCAACGAGCGTTAATCTTCTTCGCCTCGACAAATCAAAAACTGCGGCCGATGTCGTTAGAAAAAGGCAAGCAGCAGCTTTTTATTTTATTCGTTCACAATGCCAAATGTGTCTTACGACATGCGCGCTTTTCTTACTCGTCAGATAGAATTGGATTAAATTACGCGGAAAGCCAGCGGCCAACAAAGTATTGTTCGTCGCTCGTTTTCTGCGCAATTTCACCACAAATTGGGAATTTTTCCTCGCTTCTCACAGTGTTTCCAATCAAAATAAATTTTATATAATATTAAATAAAAATCAGTGATATTTATTAATTCATATAAACAATTAATAATTATTTTTATAAATATCACAAGTATTATTTCTTGCATTTTGACTTTATGATTTAAAACTGCAGTAACAATATATCAGACAAATTAAAAATTTAATAAAAATATATCGATCAAAAATCTGTAAATCTTGTAATACTGATTGTCAGTATTATATGAGAGTGTTATATGGACGTATTATTGGAATTAAATCGCTTGTTTATTGTCAGACACGAGTGACCTAATTCTTTGCATAATCATTCTTATTTACAAAGTTATCAACACAAGATAATCGAAATATGTCCAAGTCAGCACTAGATGTAATTTACCATATTTGCGCAACCGTTAGGCAGACAAGATATCAAACGAGTTAAATTCGAAACCAAACAGCTATTCGATTTCTCCGCTCTACGTGACAATTTTATTGTATTTTTATTGTATCATCTACTTCTATCTTTTTTTTACAGCTTTGTTTTATCACGAAAAGTTAGAAAAAAAATATAAAATGCAAGAAGTAATGCAACGATATTTAGTAGAACAAAATATTATTTTCGTTAATAATAAAAAAGCTTATTGTCACAAATTAATACTTGAAAAAACGAAAATTGTGTTTTATGTATGTCTTTTGCATGCAAACATTTGTTCGCGGTTTTCCGTAATTTTGAGTTTCACAATGACTGCAATAAAAAAATATTATAAATCAAAGCTATAAGTCAAAACAGTGTCACATTTTTTTTTCAACGACAAAAGTTTCCAGTTCACGAGTCTTTGAGTAAGAGAAAACGTCGTTTAACTGCACATATGTGGCATATAGAACGTAATTGTTGCTTAATATGCAAATCTATTCTCATTTTTCCACATGATTCACATTTATTATTGTGTGATCAGCGCAATCGCGCGTACACAGCTTATAGATAATGTATTTCTTTCTAATAATAATATTTAGTGTTAAAAATATTATTAGCTTATCTATGTGTATTAATAGTTCATTTTATATGTGTGCTTCATTCAGTATTATCTCATTATAATTTTCTACAATGCTTATTTTATAGCATACAGAAGCAAATTCTGAATGACTAACGCTAATGCTAATTGTAAGCCTAGTAATTCTTCAATATGCTAATTATTGGATTTTTATTCGAATATAATCAATCGCATCATTTGCGACAGAGATAATAACTACTATTGCATTAGCATGTGAAACTTTAAGACAACTTTGCTCAATACGACTTTCATTGCATGCAGTTCAATGCTGTAGAGCAAACTGGGGATAAAAATGCGCATACAAAAATATGAAAAACAAATTTTCTCGTCTTTTGTTGAATGTCTGATGGTATTGCATCAATGAAATTTATATTAACGAATAATTAAAGTGTAGCAATTTTTAATGACAGAGATTTTTTCGTAAATTAAATTTTCGTGAATTGAAAAATGATGCAGTAATATCGCTATCATAATAGAAAATTTTATCCATTGGATACTTCAATATTACTACTATATACTGTAGAAAGACGCGTCACGGTGTAAGTAAATAAATAGTTTTATATCACTTTCATACCGCTTTCATGACATTTTTTATCTACGTTTTCCGTAAATTAATTACTGTTTTATGTAAAGTAATAACAGTTTCATCTCAAATCAACACAGTGGTTTAGTTAAATAGTATGCAATATGATTTATTTATATTCATAATTATCGTTAATTATTATAATTTAAAATGAATTATTCTATTGATTTGGCTAGAATCAATAAAATTTTTACAACATTTAAGAATATGTGTGTGTGAAAATACGAGAGCAAAAATATTCTTACAAATTTTTTACTACTATATTATTCGTATTTCAGTGCTAAAACGTATATAAGAGGAATATTAAAAGCAAGCCAATCATAAAGAAAATTCTGTTAAAAATTAAAAAATCAATAAACAAAGGGCTTCATTTAAGAAGTGATTGCTGCTTTAAAATTGAGAGAATCCTCTCGCCGACAAAGATTAAAGCTTAACTGTGTTTAAAGAAGTTAAAATAATGCTCTAAAGTTTTATAAAACATGCATTTTTTTCCGTCGTTAGGCAAAAGTGTATTTGCTTAACTTTTAAATTATTGAGAGTGTGCATTTTTATCTTGGTGTTTCTAATTTAGAACATTCAATACAAATCTTGAAAACGTAGATAAAACATTCCATGTATGTTTATCATAATAAGTTCTCTTATTTTCGATCTATTTATTTCTTTTTCTTGATCATTAACCTAATTATATATATTTATATGTCGTGTTTATATAATATCATGATTACGCAAATTAGAGTATATGATCAATAGATCCATTCTTAGTATCGTGAAAGATACATATTCACGCGATACTTTTTCACGTCTATTATTGTACATATAATGTAAGCATAAAAACGCTAATCATGAAGCTTTTTAACATCTTTGTTAACATGAAAACATAAAAAAATATAACATGAATAGACGTAAACATATATACGCAGAAATCTATTAACATTACTAAAAAAGTAATCAAAACTCAGTTCGAAGAAATATTAAATTATTATTTGTTAATATTAAAAAATCGATATTATAAAAAACGACATAAAAATTACATACTATAAAAGAACATTTTGTAACGCGAAATTATTATTATGTCGTCATGTCAACGAGACATGTACTTGTACATGTCGAAGAAACAACATGATTTTTTTAATTAGAAGTGATACGGAGAGCGCCGGCAAGTATTCCCGATCGGAGGTAGACGGTCAATCGTCTCAAGGACAACAGAAAGGAAAATTCAATTTATCTCGGTTCTTTGGACGGAATAAGGATAAAGTAACGAGCACTGATACGGACACCATGAAAACTGTCGTCACCGTTGATGACGAAAAGGTAATTTTTTATATTATTCTCTGTCTATTATTACTTTTTCAATAAACTGTTTATGATTAATAATATATTAAAAGTTTGCTGACGAGCAGCTTTGACATTAATAATATATGTTACGTCACGTATACATTATATGAAAATTATATGTCACATAAAATTGTGTATTAGTGTAATATTCATGATACGGTAATTATTTAAAATTACACACTTTAGAATAAATAATTATTCACACGTAAATACCACATATAAATATATAATAACAAAAGCAATAAAAAAATAAAAATTTAAAAAATATAAATTTATCATTAAAATTACCAAGTTTTTGCAGAAATTGTTTGGAATATTATTCTTGCATTGCATTGTAATATTATTTTTTCGCGTTGTCTCAAATTCATATTTTACTGTTTCAAATATGGATTTTTACGTCACCATAATATATAATTTTTACAAATAAAAAATATAATTTACATAAAATAACTTTCATATTTAGCGAATCTCTCCACCATTACTAGAAAGTTCACATATTTTGCGATAAAAGACTTACCACAATGATGCTCCGACGTTACCCAACGTCCTTGGACCTTCTACTTTTTCATGGCACTCACACGCGTTTGTGATTTTGCTCGCATTGCTCGCGAGCAAGAAAAACGAAAATTACTTTAAACAGCACTTTAAATGGCACTCCCGACATCACAGGATACGAAAATACGTTCATCTATACGGTTCACTAGATTACAATATTTCGTACTTGCGCGAAATTGTCACGGCACTCCCGATATATTCTATGATATTATGCAGATAAACGAACGAAAATGAAACAATTTAATGATAGAACAAATATTACGTACAATAGTACAATTTTACCGATGATAGCGCGAAGATCTATCTGTAAAACATAAATACATTTACATTACAACATGTTCAAAACAGGATTATGAGAAATAATATTATTATTAAGTTATACTGTAATTTATTGCTAATTTTACTTGTTATTAATTTTAAAAAAATAATAAGCGACGGTTAAAACCTTGATTTTATTACTCAGGACCCACACACGTATAAATATACCAAACATAAACACATCATATAAGTATGTACAATATAATATAACACGTCTAGCATGTGACTTAAAAATTAAATTTAAAAAGTTTTGACAAAACTTCACAGATTGCTCGAAGAATACATGCGATACGGAATAATTGAATTGAGCAAAAAACGTGATGAGTTTATAGTAGAGTCCTTTATTTAAAAAAAAATTTATGTTTAGATTTATCATAATATACGACAGAGAGATCTCTTGGCCTATAAATGTTATAATAAATGCAGTAGATCAAATTTATGCGCAATAAATAATGAAATAAAAAAATTAAACATTAAATTTAAAATTGCATTAAATAATATTTTTTGCTTGAATGTAAAACAGGTTTTTTTTCTCATGAATTATTCCGTATGCGTTCTTCGAACAATCTAAAGTTTTTTTAAATTTTTATATTTGATTTAGAGAATTTTAGTTTTTAATAAAGAATATGGGCGGAGAATGGATGATAATATTATAATAAATTCTAATTTTTTACGTTTTTGTCTAAAATGCTAATTAAAATCAAAATTCTTTGTCACTTTCCTTTTTTATCTGAAAAGAAATACTATCTAATTTCAGTCTGCCGAGCCGACTTCGGAAGGAGGTGAAATCGTGTATGCAGAGTTAGACCTTCCTGCCAGAGAATTAACTGCTCAAGCACCCAGCCAACGCAATAATCATAAAACGGAATACGCTGAAATCTTGTACACAAAACCAGAAACCGAAGAAACGACTGCCGCGGATAAATGATGATATCATATGCAAAAAATTATTACGTTTTTTTTTAATTTGATTTATGTCTAGACATGGTATTTTCTTCCAAAAAGCTAAGATGTACAACTTTTTATTTAAAAAATCAAAATGAACACAGCTTGAATATGGAATTTGAATGCGAGAAGAAAATATTTTGTTTCGAAGCGTTATCTTTATAATTTGCCAAATTTATCGCCATCATTCGCATGTTTTTATATTAAAGAGTGGATATAATCGCGTTTCTCGTTAATCAAAGCCCTGCGATTACGTATCTGTGTGTGATAATTTGTTGTACGGTAGGTAATTGTACATTATGATAATAGGTCGCTATTTCCATCTGTCCTGATGCGTTTACGTAATCAATAATTATTGAATTCGAGAGTTAAGCAAAAGCAGTTTCATCAATTAACAATGGCTGAAATATATAATTTATGGCAATGTGCAATTGCCTTCAATAAGGCCGTAACATCTTTTAAAAAGGTATATTCAAGTGGCAAGATATTTGTCATATAATTTTCATTTAAAAAAAATTAACATTTTCTTTGGGATTTCATAAAAAGCATAAGTTTTATCAGTTAAATCTTTTACTCACAATCAGATAAGAAACTTAAATTTTTTAATAAGAATTGCCATTATCAATTTGCACTTTCTTGAGATCATTCCATTCTCAATTTTTTTCTGTCTATGACATATATGACTATCACGATGTTATACTAACAATAAGCGTCGCGCCAATCGTACTTAAATGTTATTGTTAATACTGTTATTGTCCAGTTAAAAATAATACATAATAATAACTATATCGTGAAAGTCATACGCTTAAAAGTTGTTTAAACAATTTAATCACTTCAAAATTAGGAAAATAATCGTGGGGGGAAGAAAATCTTAAAAATAACCAGCGTAGAGTCAAAAAACTAACGTAAAGAAACATAAAACAATATTAAATCTATTGAAATTATAGAAACAATTTTTTAAGCAAAGCTACCCCTTCTGTGTATTGTGAAGTTTAATGTGCTTAACAATTATACATTTAAGCTGTATTGTATATCATCGATATTTACTAATAACTGTATGATGTAATTTGATTTTATTACAATTATGTCTTGCGTAATTTTTAAATAATTTGTAAATGTAAGATTAGGCTTTTTTAAAGCGTATTATTATATCCAACAAATCATTTAATAGCAATGCAAATTTAGATGTAAGTTGATTTTTAATTCCATTTTATTGATTCGATCATATTCTAAAATATGATATTATGTCGATTCAAGCGTCTTTTGCCGTCCACTACTAATAAATTTAGTTACTTTTTGTACGCTTTTATTTTAATAAATATGTAAGAATAAAAAGCGTGAATCAAATCAAGCCTGTACCTTTAGCTTTTAATTTACTAAATCATTAAATTCCAGAAATAAAACCAGTTTTGAAATTCTAAAAAAGATACTGGAAGCTTTATATAACAACTAGCCGTAAAATGTAGAAACACTTTTATAAGAATGCAATTAAACTTGGATAACTATGAAAACTTGGAAGATAAAATTGTTGGTTTTATTTTTAATTATAACTAACTTTTCATTTCCTCTATTTTAAAATAATATTATCTTTTAATTAATTAACTTTTTATTAGATATGATAAACTAAACTAGATTTTTTCAATTGCATACATTATAAAAAACTAAACTAGATTTTTTTAGTTGCATATATTTTATCTTATCAGTAACTACCTGAAAATGCTTAAAAAAGAGTCAATATAAAAAGAGATTAAAAAAGAGTCAAGAGTCATATGCAAATTTGACGTGAATAGATGTTGATTAAAAACTTGGATTCTTGTTCTTGAGATCAATTTTATAATCAAATACATCTTTAATATTCTTCATTATCCTTCAATAATGTGTTTACACTGTCATTTGTAAATATCAAGGTGTATATTATATAATTTATATGCGTGTAATTGTTACAAATGATCATATAACATATTAAACAGATAATCTATATGCAATTTAATACGACAAGAAGATAATTTTACTATTAATAATAACATTTTTATATCTATTTTTTTTTAGTCATTAAGTTTTTCTCGGAATATATACGCGTCCAAGAAGATAAGTAACAAGTAACCTCAGTATCTTTCCAGATCGTGTATATTACTTTGTTACATTCTGACCGCATAGAATTGCAATTATTTTGCAATCTGTTCTTGTCGATCATTATGCAAGACAGAAAAAAACTTTATTTACGATTTACGCTCATGACTGATTTCCAGAAAAATTTTATTTTTTATTCAATGTAAATCTCCAATGTTGCTTTCCATTATTCTTGATTTAAAATTCTTAACTTTTTGTGACGGTAGTCACTTCGGTCTCCAAATTATGTTCAGCTTCGACGTCTTCTTGAGCAACATTGATTGCAGAATGCACAGATTTCTCATCTTCCGGCAAGTAATCTGGATGACTCTTGTAGATGTCCCAGAACATTTCTGCAACGCTGTCATCGAACTCTGTGCGAGTTTCTTCGCTGATGAAGCTACTGCGTCTACTAACACACTCGAAAGAATTTATTCCGGGTGGAGGAATGGTGCTCGCAAATGTTATTACTCTCGGATAATCGCGCACGGCCGTCAGATCCGCGACAGAGATTCTAGAATGATGTGCTTCGAATAAATTAATCGCGGAATCGATGCATTCCACCGAGTCACGCTCTATTCCAACAGGATCAAAGGGTGACCTCGGTCTTTTCAAAGGACGCGCTTGGCCGAGATTCAGACGCCACTTTGTGCTCACAAGCGCGTTATTCGCGTTTTCAAGATTCAACGCAGGCAATGTGCGACGCAATTGGAAATCATTCGACTGAGAATCTTCAGTCGCGCCCTGCGCGAGACGCTGTCGATGTATAAAATAAGAATCCTCGTCGGGTACCGCAATTGCTCTAGGAATAGACATGCCATAGGTTTTGACTTTTCCCGGATTTTTCCGCAAGGATTTAGACAGGATCTTCCTTCTTACGATGCAGATCTCGGAATCCGCATCAACGTTTTCGCGATCGAATGCAAAGATCAATGGCGTGATGCGAAAGCCAAGCCGTTGATTTGTATTGAGCATTTTTGTGATCACGTATACAAGAGCATTTATGTTTTTACAGCGTAGAACATAAATTGCGCCGCGATCTGTCGTAAACAACGGCGGGCCGATCCAGCAAGGATCGGCGACGTAGTAGCCGTCCTTGGCGGCCAACACGGCTAAAGTGATATTGTTGCATTCGATAATGACATTGTGAGCTTCTTCAAGAGATAGTTGTAACGCTGCGCTTAATGTTAATCTATTTTGAGCACCATATAAAATACCGCATACGCTTGTGTCAAAATCTATGGTCCATAAGTGTGGAAATATTCTGAAGGATGTCTGTAAACCAAACCTGTTTTGCGCCTTCGAAGCCTTTCGCGAAAAATTTTTTAGACTTTTAACATAGTGGGAATCTCCGCAGATTACAGCCGAGTCTAAAATGGCTGCATTCCACCTTGAAGGATGACAAAGATGCTGCATAGCCAGAACAGCTACGCATATAGCGGCGCAATTTTTCCCCGCTCGTTCGCCGAATCGATAATCGTATGCGCCGATCGTGCCCCAAACAGAGTAAATTAAACCGGTTACTTCGATGGTATAATTGTTCCAGAATCGTCTATCAATTTTCATCTTCATTGTATTATGTAGCTTATCGCTATCCTTCGCTTTTTTATCCGCTCTCATAATCGAATGCATGAAGTTCCAATGATAATCCACATAAATCCACATCGGATCTTCTTGGAATTTCTCGAACAGCGGCGTATCGATTGAATTCACGTGAAGTCTATGGATAAAAAATCCGGTTGTGCTATCGCACTGATTGAGAGACATATGTTTCACCATCTGACACACGAAGGAGAAGACGCACAAACAGGCATTGCCGTTGGCAGACGTTCTTCTGCCCGCTGCGTCGCATTGATAGGGATCCAGATAATAGTAACAGTTGGTCGATCTTGAGTACCAAAAGCCGTAGCAGCAATTCGTAAAGTGCAGTATTCCGCTCGTGTACGTCTTAAAGTGCCTTTTTAAATGTTTCTTCACCTATATATGAATATCATATATAAAAGAAGTCTTAAAAATCAAAATTATTTAAAGTTGAAAATTAAAGTAGAATACTCGTGTTGTATAGTACACAAAAAAATTTAACTAGCAAGTAATTATTGAATAAAATCTTAAAATGTAAACTCGGAGCACACAATAATAAAATAAGAAATTAATAAAATAAAGAAAAGTTAAATAAAAAATTGTCTCTTTGTCTTTGACGCTCATGTATGTCAAAATTCGGAATCAGAGTACGCAATAATAAAAAAAAAAAGAAACAGAATAAATAAAATACAGACAAACAGTATAAAAAATTATTCCTTTGTCACTATCGCTCACTTGTATGTAAAAATCGTTTTTGCCAGTTCGAGGATTTGTCGTCAGCATGACCAAGGGTGACGCGCAATCTCGGAGATCAAAGTGCCTGTTCATTAGCGGGACGTTTCGCAGGATTTGCTCGGAGTGAAATGTTGGCTCGGAGAATTTCCTGTACAAGCCTTCGGCTACTTCGAGGATATTGTCGATTACAATCGGAATGGGAGATTGAATGATGTCTCTCTTTATCATAACGGCCAGTAATGCGACAAAATAGCAGCGTTTTGCTCGCGGCTCCAGCAGACTATCCCGATCGCGCAGAGCTATTGTGCCGAACACAAAGCTCGGATTCGGAGCTAAGCCGATAGGTCTGAAAATCGCTGCGATATCGCGAGACTCCGGTGTCTCTTTTCGATGAATCTTCGCGAGAGAAGTCGTCGGTGCCATCGGCTCGTGAAGACCCTTGATGTCACTGCAATCCGGTGCCATTTTGACAGCATAGGATATGGCGACCGCTCTCGCGGCAAATGTTATTTCTTGCGGTTCGTCAATCACCTTAACGATTAACTTGAGAAACTCGTTTAAGCAACTGGTTGTAATTATCCTGAATTTCTTTGTCCCTGTGACCGTCCACCACGCAAAATAATTATTGCCGCTCTTCGTGACGCCTATATGAGCGTAGCCGCAGACGATAATCGCACCGGTGTAGATCCTCGTTTCGAATATTTTTTCCAGGGTCATTGCTAGATTCCAGCCATCCGTGGCATACAGGGTGCCATAGTGCAATGGTGCGAGCACCGCTCGAAACATGTAATTTGCTATCTTGAATTCCGGCAGTACGGCATCTATCATGTCTCTCACGGAGGTATCCTCGCTCGCCAACACGTTGTCAAAAGCGTAATCCATACTCGCTTCGATCAAGCCAACAATTGTACGTTCCGACCAGGATGCAGGATCGTGGATTAATGACCACGCCATGAAGCAGAGATCGATAGGAATCGCGACGGACGTGTGATTTTGAAATATCCTTTGTGGCGTTCTTCTTTGTATAAACGTTATTTTCTCGTGGGTTCCATTACTGTTCAGTTTCTTCGATAACATTTCGAACGGTACTAGCAGAAGTGTCGTAATATAATCCTCCAAAACGACCGTTTCGAGCATCGAGGCCTCGTAATATTTTATCGGTGTGAAACCGGGACTTTTCACGTCATGATCTAATTCCGGATCCGAAGTGACCCACTCGACTAGCTCTGTCAAAGGCGATTCGGCCGACACGGCCGACGGCGTGGAGTCTCGTTTTTCTTTTTCTTCGTCATGGATCGACTCTGTCGGTTTTGCGTGCCGTTTAATAACGTTCCTCCGTTTCCGTTTACGCCTCTTCATCCGCATGTGAGCGATGGACACAGTATAAAGGCGGAAGGGCTCTTTCACCGTTTCCGCGGCGTTCGTTTTAATTTTATCGAGCATAGATTTCAAATCCCGGAATTTCATGAGACAGCAATAACCTTCTTCACTGGCATTTCCGTTCTCATCGCAAGAATAAGGATCGAAGAGATAATACTTATCATCCGCCGTCCAAAATGCGTACGCGCAATTTGCCAGCACTAGTATGCCGGTTCGATCATTCTCTAGGAATTTCTCAACGATTGTATCGAGCTCGTCGGATGGAGAACTCTTAGGATCGGCGCGAACAATTTCTTTCAGAACAATGTTGTAACTCGCATTGAGAATATCTATGTTGTAAAACCATCTGCATTCTTTGTATCGCAGCTTGCCGACTCGTTGATCGATCTTATCGGTGAGGAGAATCAATCGATCCAGGATGCTGCCTCGAAAGCGATCCACGTCTAGTGCAATTTTCGCCAAAATGCATAATATAGCCGAGAAATAGCAAGGCTTGAAGTGAGCAGATTCAACTCGCGCGCGATCCGACAGACTCGAATTGCCTCGTATTATTTCCGTATCTTCCATATCTTCCGCGACCTTGTATTGACATAATGTTTATGAGATAAATTAAATAATAGGATAAACTTACTCAACAAAAGAGAAAGTTACTAGTCATAATTACATTTTTTTAAATCGAACGCGTATTATTTGTTGGAAAAATTTTTATCGCTGCGCGATAAATATGTGTTGCAATGTTAAACGCTTACTTGTTTGTATACATTATAATAACAGATAATTATAAATATTTTTAATGCTGTAATAAGAAATTACTTTAAAGCCAATAGCTTCTGGCGATAAACGATCTATTTTAGCATCTCTGACACTCATAACCTTTTTCGTCGCCTGATCCACTTTTGCATCATCTTTTTTTTCTTCTGATGGCTAAATTTAAAAAAACCGACTATTAAAAAGATCTTATCTTTTATTTAAAAATATAATAGCCAAATAAATATTATTAAAATCGAAGAACATAATAATTTTGGAATGTTTTTCACAGTCAAATAAGTTAAATATATTCCATAAATATTATGTTTTTTAACGTTGTTATGCCTTTAATTAAAAAATAATTAAATTTTGACTAAAAATTCAAGTTTATATATTTGAGAAAGATTTGAAAATTTAGCCAATTAATTCAACCAATTTTTTGTTTAATTTGAAAAAGATTTCTTTGAAAATCTAGAATGTCTTATAGATATTTCTTGACTTAAACGTTATAAATAATGTATTTATATTCATTTAAAAATGTGCTAACCTGTAGATCAGATTGAAAACCCGGAAATATTAATTTAAACAGATGCTTTTCCGCATCGTAAAGATTTTTCTTAATAGGCAATTCTTTTTCTGTGTTCGATGTGCTTCTTTGTTTCTGTTCGTCAGCACATGTTAAACGCTTTGTTGTTAAAACCGGAGTCTTAATTATCGGTCCAAGTGGTATCAATTCTATTTTTGGAGCATAAAGCACTGGTAATCGTGTTTTCATATTTTTCTTTCTTTCCTCAAACTTCTCTCGTTTTTTATATTTTTCTTCAAGCGTTTTATCGTCGTCTTCTTGGATATAACTTTCGTCGATAGCTCTAAGGGGCATCATGCGAATTGGCAATAATCTCGAGTACAAATATTGTCCGAAAGATAGCCTTATCATTTTAGAAGGTTTCACTTCACGGGGCAACGAGACGATCAAAGCTGCAGGAGTCACGAAATTGGCGGAGAAATCATCTCTCTTTTTAACTTCCAGCCTCGAGTCGATCGAGAATCGCGATACGAGAGAGGGAATCGACTTATTCGCTCGTTTTGCTTCTAACAAAATCCAAAGCGTGTTTCTCGACGGCATCACGTACGGCGGTGGATGATTGTACTTCATTTTCTCGAGCATCACCTCTTCGTGCAAGCCGTCCAACTCTTCTTCGGTTGACTCTTCGATACTCACTGCAGAAGTCAAAAGAGCCAGATTCAGGCGATAAGGAGCGTCGGGCTGCGCGCGTTCTTCGATTTCTAGCAAAGGATCTTCAAGAAGTTTCTCCGGCAATTCTTCTTTTTTTATTTCAGCTTCTTCCTCTTCTTCCTCTTCCTCTTCCTCTTCCTCTTCTTCTTCCTCCTCTTCTACTTCCTCCTCTTCTTCTTCTTCCTCCATTTCTTCTTCTTCCACATCTTTTTTTACTGGCTCTTGCGTCACGGCGATGTCAGGCTTCGTCTCTTCAAGCTTCAGTAAATCGTCATCGGTAATCGGCAGGAACTTTGTTTGAAAGTTTCCGATCGTCTGATCGTCCGGTATTACGATCTCCACGGGTGACGTGTACTTTCCCGGATGTATCGCGTCCAGTGCCGCGAAGTGAAGCGAGAAACGCGGATCATTGTACTCCAAAACGCCATGAAAAAGGTCAACCAGCTCGTTGAGACTGTCAGTTACAATAAAAGAAGCCGGATGACCGCGTAAACGCCATCCTTCCGAATCGCTGCCATAAGGATTAAATAAAAAGAATTTTCCATCCTCTTTCCAAATGGCGTACATCAATTTCTTGTTTTCCAATACTGCTTCGGGGTATCGCTCGAAGTAACGCTCGAGAGCCTCCGCAAGATTGGCTAAAGGATTTGCATCGCCGTTGACGACATTTGTCTTTGTCTTGAAGAGGACATCATATTCGGCTAGTTTCAGTCTGGGCGGCAAGAAAGAGATATCTAAGTGACTAGGAGCGGCTGCTACTTTCCGAATAACGGTTTCTTCCTCTTCCTCTTCCTCTTCGTCCTCTTCTTCTTCCTCCTCTTCCTCCAGTTCCTCCTCTTCTTCTTCCTCTTTCTCCTCTTCTTCCTTCAATTCCTTTCCAATTTCTCTCAATTCCGGTCGACCTTGCTCGATCCACGTTATAACTCTTTCATGAGCCTTGTTGCTGACATCAACGATCTGATCGACATCTATGTTTCGCCAGCGAGTCGGATTTTTCAATCTTCTGTACGCCAACGCAGTCAAAGCGGCTATTAATCCTTGTCTGCCGCGCGATCGTGGATGAAATTCCGTGCTCAGACAATTCTTAGTGCCGTGAAGAAGCAAACGATGAACATTTACCATTCTGTATCCCGTGATAAAGTTTATCGTAGGTTTCTCTTGTGCTTCCTCGCCTGCTTCCATCATTTCGTCATCTTCTTCTGCATCTAAACGTTCCTTCTTTATTTTTTTGTCTTCTTCTTCTTCCTCTTCCTCTTCTTCTTCTTCCTCTTCCTCTTCCTCTTCTTCTTCTTCCTCTTCAACTACTTCCTTTTTTACTTTACTTACTTCTTGCGCAAGCACGAAAGTCATCGGCTCGTCGTCCGTCATTCTATATTGATCCACATCTTGCATGACTTCCGGAAATTGAGTAGACACTTCCGTGGATTTGCGTGATTCCGGTCGCATGCGTGGCGTCGTGTCAATCACCTTTTCCATTGTATCGATTAGCATGGTTGGCGACGGGGCTCGCGGTCTACGATTCGTGCCTTTTTCTCGATAAATCACCTTCTCGAACGGACCGCCTGATGCTATTCCAGTCTTCACGTAGAGCACCTTGACTCTATGTATTAAAAAAGGATCTTTGTCCTTGCTGTCGGTATTTTTCAATACTGTTTCCATCATCCCATCCACTGTGCTGTGCATAATCACACAGGCAGCCTTTTTTAAAGAACCAATTTTCGTGCGCTCCGCATCGGTGAGATCGACCCTGAAGCCTTCATCGTCGCACGCAAACGGATCGAGAAAGTAGTACACGTCGCCGTCCTTCCAGATCGCGTAAAAGATTTTCTTAATTTCGAGCATACCGATTCCCTCCGTTTCAAAGAATTCTCGAATGCCATTTTCGATGGTCAGCTTTCCCTTTTGTGCATCGCCGGGTAACACATTCGCGTCCACTTTTACCTTGGCGGAGTACACGCCGAGGACAATGTCGCTCATTAAATCCGACAAGGAAAGCTCGAACTCGTCGTCGAGTTTCTTCTCGAGAACTCTTATCAAATCGATGAGATAAATATTGGATTGATTAAAGATCAGATCAAGTAAAGCGGTCGTCCACTTATTGGCGCTGATCAGCCGTGAATACACCAACGCTGCCACGGCTATAATCAAGTGTCCCTTGCCTCGCAGAGCCTCCGGCACGGCGGGATGCGCCAGATAATAGGATCCTTGTACCGCTGCTCGCTGCTTCCGGCGAATCTTGTAACCGCTTGGTCTCCTCTGCGTTAACCCTGGTTTCCCGAGCATCTGCTGGGCGTTTTCTTCGAAATCCTCTGGAAACATCAATTCCACTCCAACGATGTCGATGGCGTGAATCACGAAAGGCTCATTCTGCACTTTACTCTTTTCGAGAATGATGTACAATACCCCTGTCAAATCCTTCACGAAAAACAATTTAGCCGATCCGCTGACTCCGTCGGACGTCGGCTCTCCGTTTTCTCGTCTCGCCTGACCGTCGAATATATTATAATACTTTGAGTCTTTCCAAATAGCTATGTTGAGCACCGGTGACGTCAGAATCCCGGCGTCGTGTCGCTCAAAAAACAATTCCAGCGCCTTCGCCAAATGAAGTTCCGTCGGATCTTGTGAACGAAATTTTCCGGCGTACGCTGGATCTTCGATTCTGACTCTCACATTGTACTTTTTCTGAATGAGAAGGTTTTTCTTCAAGTCAAGGATGATTGTCGTTCTGCGATCGCCGGTATTCACATTCTTATAAGATTCGCAATAAAAAGTATCGCCGTCCTCAATAATCTGATCGATCACCGCTTCGTTCCAGGAGCGAGGTTTATGAATCGTGGTCGTGGCAAAAGCTGCAATCGCTATAGCGCCACCCTGTTATTAGAGCTGCGAAATGAGAAACTGTCGAGCTACATAATAATATGTTTAACCCTTTATAACCCAATTTTCTTTACGAAGGTGTGGTACACCAATAAGATGCTAAATAGTGGTGGAAAATTGTAATAAAGCTTAAAAAATACAGATATATGAGTACGTGACTTCAAAATTACATGGCATTATAGAGGGTTAAAAGGCTAACTATTTTAATTATATATTTTAATCTCGCTAATTGAATTTAAATATTAAATATTAAATCAATTTATATATTAAAAACGCGTAGAATTGATGGCTACAATATAAAAAAATTGTTAAGAAACATGTTTTTTAAATAAAATCTTCATCGTCGATTCACGATAATCGGGATCACCTGATAACCTCTGGATAACGATGAAAATTGCAACATGTTTAGATGAATTAGACCAGAACGAACGCCATACTTTATGCCGGGAGGCAATTCCGGCCTAATTTCAGTGAGGGAATAAGTATCGTTCGGTAAATCGAGGATGTTATTCAAGTTCCGATATTCTTCATCCAGATCTTCATCAAACTCGTCGCTGCTTGGCACGTTGTCTTCAGCCATTTCAATATCTTTAGTAACTTCGCCGATCACATTATTAGTTTCGGACGAAACTATTTTATCGTATTCAACAAGTTGTTTCATTTTTTCTTTGAATAATTCCTTTCTTTCTTTATCCCGATTGAAAGCTTCTTTCTGCTTATGTTCTAGATCCATTTTTGTCTCATGTATTTTCCAATGCTAAAGTTTTAAAAATATTATCATCCAATGCGTTTTTTTAAGCACTTTAGTTAATAAACTTTTGGGCGTATTAAAAGATAACCCAAACTATGAGTAACATAAGCAAAATATAATCACACGTAAACAGTGTTTTATGATAACGTTTACATCGCTGATAAATTTTGATGCTTTAAATTTAATCAATATTTTTAGGCAATTGTGATCAAATTGATCGGCGGAGCGTACAATTGAATTTACGTTTCAAGCCATTATGTGTCATATTGACACGAGCACAGTTATCGATAGAATAATTCGATATAAAAAGATGACTGTGGCCACAGATTATTGATATGCATGTGGCATTATGTTTGGTTAAAATTAAAAAAGTATAATGATACAATACAGTAATTAATCTTTTATGTGCAATAATTCAATAATCAATCTTTTACACAAAAAAAACATAAATATGTTTAAACCTTTAATAGTTTATATGAAAACAGTATGAATAACATGACAGCAGTGTATAACGAGAAGATATTTATTTATCTTGTTTATTTTAATCAGAACCGTGCGACGTAATTTATCAGAAAGATTATTTGTTGACGATTCAACAAATTTTTAGTACAACGAAACTTGATTAAACTTCCTGTTTTTATAAACAGAAATAAATAATTGAATTGAATTATGATATCAGTGGCAGAAACAAAACTCAAATTTTCAAAATTTAACATTTGAATTTCGAAAATGACTTGGAACCCGAACTATCAACCATACAGATCATGGAGAGAGCAAATTGCGAAGGAAGCAGAGTCAAAAAACAAGGTAAAAAGAAAAAACTGTAATAAATTTCAGATACATCAAAGTAATACGGACAACAGAATAAAATACGGCGACGATAAAAAAAGCGAAGAGAGCGATCGAACGGACAATAGTTCTTTAAAAAGTCCTCGCAAAACATACGATTGTAAAGAGAAAAAAGATCGAAGGATTCAACGCTTAACAATACAAACTTTGAGAAAGGCTTCGTTAGACGATATACTACTAAAAAGAATTCAACCTTCGTTGTCCGATAGAGAGTGGATTATTAATCAACGTCATGTCTCTCGTGAAAAGCCAAAAATTTACACTGCTAAAGGTGAGTTTAGTATAGTATAGTAAATCCTTCCTTTTTCTAATTCAAGGCTCATTCAAACAATCTCTTTTGCATGTGTGTAACATTACGCTTCTTTATGATTGTTACATAAAAATATTACGCATATAAAGATATTTTTATTTTATAGTGATATGTCCTAAAAATAAATACTGCTACTTGTTGAAATTAATGTGTTTAAAAAATAATGATAATATTTATACGCAGTATTTATTACAATAATCAATCAATTTAATTTTTATATTGGTTTTCTCACATTAAATGTATAGCCAAGATTGAAATCATTAAAGTCTTATTGTACATTTCAATGAGTGTTATGAATTATAATTAACAATGCTATCTTTTTCTCAGATGTGTCTAAACCGGAGAACAAACCGTTTGAATTCGAAAAAACAGAAGTTTATTATGATAAAAGAAAATGGAGGAACAAAAAAAGAGATAATTCGGAAAACAGAATAAAAAGATCGATGAAAGCTAATGGTTTCGATAAGAATAAAGATAAACAGAAAATGCGAAGAAAACGAGAAGACATTCCAGAGAATAAAAGAAAATTAATAAAGAAGAGTAAGCATTGGCAAATATACAAAGAAGAAGATAAAGATGGTAGCGTATGTTCTTTTGACAGTGAAATATACTTAACAGGTAAATTTTTAAGTGTATTATAATTAAAAAATATAAATTTGAGATACACTTTTATTTAAATCATTGACTGCGCAGATGTTATGTATTAATTATATATAAAGTTAATTCTAACCACAGAAAGTGCTAAAATATATTATGCAAAATTATAAAATAGTTCCGAAACGACTTTGTAGAATATAAAACGCTCATCACAACGTAGCAAACTAATTAATAAAGCCAAGTAGAACTGATTATTGAGAAAATATACAATGCAAATTTAATGACCAATCAATGCAGGTAAATACATTGTCAACATAATCATTTACTTATAAAATATTTAAATAGGTAAATGCAAAATAAAAAATATAAAAATAAATTATGTACAACAAAATATAAAGTTCTCGTTAAAGCAAAAATTTGTAACTGATACTGAAATCATCTTATAAAATTAGAAAAAATATCATTTCATCATCGCTATATTATTGTGATTTTACAATTAGCATGAAATATCAAAGATATATTCACGCAATCAACGTAAGCATTTTGTTTAAGAGAAACAAAGCATTTTCGTAACCAGATTTAACAAGAGTGTATCTCTTATTATACAGAAAAGTTATATGTAAATTTAGTGTCAAATATTTCTTGAAGAGAAATTAATTTACCATACATTTTTGCAGGACTGACACTAATTGAATAAAAAAGAAAATAATCAAAATAATACAATAATAAAACACACCATGCAAATTTCAATTAAGTGGAACAAGTTTCAAATAATTAAAAATTAAAAAAAGTTATTTATATTTTGTATAATAACAGGTGAAAACATGATAACATGATAAAATTTATAATAAAATTATAATTACACAAAATTCTTGTATTTTACATTTTTTTGTACATATTTCAAATATCAAGTCCGTACGTTTAGAACTATTATAAAAAATAATTAAAAAAAGAAATATATATTCAGTATATTAATGTATACTAAATACATACAGCTAAGTATATCAATCAATCGATTCATTCAACCAGTGCTTATTATCCATATTTTGCAATATCCTGTTTTTAACATTATATAAAAATGTAAAGTAGATAAAATATATTAATATAACGTCATAGTAACTGCACTGCGTCGCGTAATAAAGTAATGCCTTAATTATTCATTTACATAACGATTCATAATCTAACGTTGTATTTGTAACAAAATTTTGTTGAAATTTTCACCTTTTTTCCTGTATAACGCTTTATAACGCTCAATGAAAAAAAAATACTGTAAATTATGCCGATACGTTCTATAAGTATATTGCTTACATGACACTAATTATGTACAACAGAATCTGAAGAATCGTGAAACTCATGTAAAATTTTCGATAAACCCGTGATCTCTGCTCCCACGATAAAAAGGTTAACGCAATGTTATTAAAAATAATGGTAAAACATCCCAATAAATTTTTAAAATCCACAATGTGTCTTATATAAACATTATTTGTGTCAATGTCAATTAACGCCCATTGTTTGTAAGTAAAATTTCAAAGATTATGCAGCTTATTGTTAGTGTAAAACGTTTTTCCTTTTATTATTTCTAATTATGCACCAGTCGTTATATATCGTAACTTTATTCATAAAAAATATTAAATATAATTCAATATTCAATATTTTTATAATTATAATTTTACATAAAATTATTACGTATAACTATCAATAATTTTACTATTTGTCAAATATAATAATTTATATTTCCTTAATAATTGGTAATATAAAAAAACATTGTTAAGGTATTAATATAAATAAAAATTTTAAATACAATATAATAGAAGAGCTTTAAGAGCCGTCGCAGGATGTTAGTGCGAAATTTTTAATTTTTCTTAAAGAAATTAATTAAGGGGGAACACCAGGGTGACGGCCGAAAAAAAGGCTATTTTCGTGAATTTTTTTTTCATTATCTAATAGTTTGTTTAATTTATAAACTATATATGTTAAAAGTACATACTTATATTATGTTACAAAAAAAATTTCATAAAATAATATTCATATTTATAATAACTATGGTGATTAATGTGCACCTCGTCTGAAAAAACATGGGTGCACGGGCGCTCGTGCTGCATCTGAACGGGAGCTCTAAAATAAATTTTTTAAATTGTGATTTAAAGTATATGAATGTAGTTTTAGTTGCACGTACGGATTTTTTGATAAAATAATTTTTGACAAAATGGCACTGTTTAAAAAAAAAGTTTTCGATTTTTCAACAAAAATTCGTTACTTCTTTAATTGTTTTTCAAAAACTAATAATCCGATTGAAAAATCCGTACGTGCAACTGAAGACAATTTTGTTGTAAACATTCTGTCCAAATTTCAAGTTATTCGGATAAAAATTGGCCGAGATATGAGAGCGCCCAGTTACAAAAACGTGGTTTCGAGAAAAACGCGTTTAAAGTTTTACAACTAATTGGTTCATATAAAACAATAAAATTTTGTAACGAACCAAAGTGCGTCCAATCCGAGTGCATATGAAGTGCCTTCTGAAGCAATAGAACTCAAGCACGTAGACAACAAAAGAATACCGGTAAAACTCCCTACAGACAGATCAAGGGGACTACCGAATCTTTTCAGGTAGCGCGCGGCCGGTTCTACTAGCGGCATCTGACCAAGTTCTACTCTATGACATATTTACTATAGTTCCGTTACGAATTTCACCATAATATTATAGGGACATATTTTTAAGACTCCAAACATCACAAAAATGCAACAAAAAAAAATTGATTTTTTGAAACCGTCACCGTGGTGTTCCCCCTTAATTAGTCTACATGAGACAGTTAAATTAGTAGACTAATTAATTAATTTCTTTAAGAAAAATTAAAAATTTTGCACTAACATCCTGCGATGACTTTTAATGCTCTTCTATTATATTGTATTTGTTAGTTATTATATAAGCCTTTCCATTATATATGTTTTAAAAATTTTAAACTTGTAAATTTATTAATAAAAATATTATACTATAAATTGAAAGATATTTTCTAGATTCTGACAAGCTAATAAGAAAAAGTTTTAAAATATAACATTTTTTATTTTAATCTACCAACTTTCGCAACTTTTGTATGCATATTAGCAATATTAAATCGTAACGCTGTTAGAAACAGAGTAGAAAATCTACCAGAGCACTATTGGAAAATTATAGACCAAGTTACACAAAAGCATAGAACGTAAAAAAAACGGTATGTTCCGTTATTAATATTTAAATCTTGTCTGTATAGCAAATATCGCGAATTTCTAAATAAAGCAGCAACTCCTACTACGAATCAATATTAGATAATAGGTCAATCGAATTTGTATTAAGTCGCTCTTATCTAGCGGTAACGATGCTGTTATCGCTCAAAGATTTTATAGAATAGCTGTGGAAAAGGATCGGAAGCGAAAGCTGTAATCAGTGAATGAGCAGACGTCGATTGAAACGTCGAGGCGTCAAGAATCGCGCTGTTTCTGTTCACTTAATGGTCATCAAATGTGTCACCAATACGCGACTTAAAAGCTCGATTGCGTGCAGTGTAATACATTCTCGTGCTGCTTTTCAATGTTGAATTACATTAGAATAACGATCAGTAAGTAACACGATTTTTTATGTAAAGCCAGAGTATTTTTAAAATAATGTTTTTTTTAATTCTATAATTCAAGTAAACATATACATACGTAAACGTATAATAAATCTGTGAAATTTAATGGCCTAATTCTCTCAAACATCAATTAACTTTAATCAATTAATTTTACTTGTAAAATAGTTAGTATTTTATCTCTTTTTAGCAGAGTTTAGAACGAAATCATATGTTGCACGATTTCATTGCATATTAAATTCCACTTACAAAACTTTGTGTGTAAAATTTATTTTGCAAAGAAGTTAGTAAGAGTTAACGAATACCGATCAATTAACGTGCAAATGCTTATACTATAAAGATTAATGAGAAAAAAGATAAACTTTAGATTGCTAATTTATTTTATACGGTTTATACGGCAATTTGCAACATTGCTAATTATACGACTTTCTACTGACAAGAAATAGTTATTTAAAATGCATTTAGAATGCATGATTGCGATTGTCTCTTTGGTTACGATTGACTTATTAGAATCGAAAGATCAAATTCAAGATAAAGTTTTATGTTATTTGCTATTTCCTTGTAAAATCATATTTTTACTCATATTAAAACTTGTGCCACTTTTCATCAAATAGAGCACATGGAATTAAATATCGACGCTATGCCATTGCTTATCTCAATAAATCTCGCATATGAATATCTGCTTTACATTAAAAGTGCCGTGGGAAATAATAAAGTTGTGTTTATTAGACTGACACATAACAACTGCTTATAAAATTTATTATTCATTAATCACACTTGGCCAGCGTGATTTATGTGAAGAAAAATGTAAATTGTGTTGTTCATAATTTAATTATAAATGTAAATAACATTGTTCATAATTTAATTATAATTTTAATTATAATTGCATTCATAATTTATAGAGAATTTTGTGAAATTTCACACATTATAATATTTATCATGTGTAAATAGATATATGTGAATTGTGTTATCTTTACGTTATTTAAAGTAAAGTTTAAGCATCTAAAGGAAAGATACAGCCAAAAACATCCATAAATCCGGAAATTGTGTGCTTTTTCAGGTATAATCGCAATGGAGATGAGAAATATCATAGACGTAGGTAAACAATGGTGTCTGGCAGAAGTTTCATATGTGAGGAAAGGGCTACGGAATCTGGCTACGGACTCTACGATTCTGTCATTGATCTTATTGCCGATGCTATCAAAGTGTAATTTCACTATGGAATCTCTCAATACTTGTAATGTATCACAAACTACTTCCGACTCACGGTGACGGTCTTAATTCCTACATTTTATTTAACGGATCTAAAGTATTATCGCACTCGTTTCATACGTTTAGGTACGTAATTCATCATTATTTTTACTTCGAACCGATCTATCTACGACAAACAAATTGCTTCCTAAAAACTTTTCTGAGATTTAATCGCCCTTTGCTATTATTGGCATTGAGCATATTCTCTCAAAAAAAGCAACATCCAACTTTCAGACTATTCTGATCTTTAATCTTATGCAATGAGCAATGTTTTAGCGCTATTTAAATATAACAACTTATTTCTATGATGTTTTGTTAACTTCTAACATCATCTAATTGCTAGCATTATACTTTTTGTGTCAGAAAAATTTAACAATAAAAAATTACAATTGATACTGTCAGCAAATTATGATAAATGTATAATAATTGCCGTGTTTTTAATCGTTATTGATTGATCTAAATGAAAATAATTTCTTAGTCGCCTGAAGCCGAATATGCATGTTACGCGTAATCAAAACGCATTTACTAAAAAAAAAAAGAAAAAAAAAGAAGAAAAAGGTATTTTGCAGTAACAAAAAAATAAATTATAGATAGTATAATTCTTCCTAGCAATTATATAAATTTTTTGTAACATTTAATCAAAGTTCATAAAATAAAAAAATACTAGACTATGCAAAACAAATAAATTTGGTGGGTAAATAAGCATTATAAATTTTTTATATTTTTTACTATTTCTTTCTGTAGCTTTTGAATTAATTTTATAACGCACAGTCTTTAAAGAATATTTTTTAAACAGATTTAAAAATTACGATAGAAAATATATCAGCTTGAAAAATTTTTAAGA